ATCCCAAAATCCGAACTAAGTTTTTGTGTTGTAGTTTTGAGATGAGTAGTATTTCATTCATGAACTCCTCTTTGCCCTGCCCCGAGCTGGTGGAAAGCCGTTTTACAGCAATTTCTTTCCCATCTTGCAGCGTTCCCTGAAACAGATTGCATAAGGTCATCTCGAGAACATACACTAAAGATACAAAAAAATTATCCAACCTTGTAAACTGAGCCAAATCCACCTTGTCCGAGTTTATTTGAGAGACTGAAATTATTGGTGGCAGTTTGAATAGTATTCATCTCAAAGATATGTAAACCTGAGACATCTTGCGGTTCCAGATCATTTCTCCATGCAAATTCTGAAGCAACCTTTGATATATTAGCTGATAATAAGGTCATCAGTGTGTTACCATTAGTAATCAAATGAATACATAAAGAGAAATAAATTGATAGAGAGATTGTAAGATCATCAGTGTGTACCGTTATGTTTCACTCTGTATCTCCATAAACCAAACGCAGCAGAAACCAATATCGCAAAAAGAGAAAGACTCACAATACTAGTAGCAATGGTTTTGTTGCGGTTTTTCCCACCTGAGATATATAAGACAAAAACAAATTAAACAATAAGCCATGCTACAACAAAGAGAACACTAATGAAGATAAAAGTTGTGATTGACGAAGTAGCTCTTTCGTGTTATCTTTTAAGCCGTACCTAGTTCAGACTGTGAAAGCCGAATGGAAAGAAGTTCTCCTCCAGAAGAATATTGCACTGTGTCCATTAAGTCTCGGTTCCACACTAAGCACCCTATTCCATGAATAAAAGAAAAGGCCAGGCAAGAACAATTGTCGAGGCAACTTTGGTAGCATTTTTCAGCAGTCAACGAACTTTCCAATGCGTAAAAGTCTGGGGGCTTTATGTTGGGAACAGGATGGAAGATATTTACATCTTTGCCTGTAGAGTTTCCTTGACAAAGTAATTCGGTACGCCTCACACAACCATCAGTCCAGTTTCCTTTCTTCCACTCCTCAATGGATTTTGGTACAAACCCTTTGATGCATTTACACTTTGGAGGTACTGACATAACACACAACCCAAAAGGTCCACATACACCGTTAAATTCGCATAAATTCCATTAGAACCCCAGCTCATAAACTCCATTAGAAGAGATGAGAGTTTGTCCTGTTGACAAAGGAGTTGCTGTCGTTATGATCCCTGCATAGCTGAAACTTAAAAAGAGAGTAGATAAGAGCAAAGAACACGATCTTCTTCTTCCCCATGTGCTTTTGTGTCTCCAATAACTTTCTTCCTCAGATTAGTTAAAGAAGCAAGAAAGCCAAGAAAACTCAGAGACTTGTGACCTGTGAGAACTATTTTCAAGCATCACACTTTGAAAATTATGCATTACTTAGGTAATTGCCACGAAGAGTCTAAACTTTCTACCCAATCAATTACGCAACATTGTCATTTTCATCCTAAAGAATCGATCCAACATTTTACCCCGTCAACCACGCATTGATATGATTGACCTCAGATTGAAATATCAACTGAAAGATGTCTATAATCAATCAATCAGATTTGTCCTTGAGGTTTCTGAAATCCTTGTTTCTGATTTGCAAGGTAGTATGCCGGTCAAACTATGTTTCAGTCTCTTTCAGGAATTTAATCGAACAATACAAACGTTTGAAGTACGGTCAAATACAAAACATGGAAGTATGTCCGTTTCGAACTCCCAGTATTTGAGCTTAAGTGATTCTGCCCAAAATAGCCGAGTTCAACATTCAAGATCGGTGTGTCAGTGTCACGGTCACCAGCGAGAGCATAAATTGTGAGACGCGAGGGAAGACGACAACTTTTAAAAAAAGCAAGGTTGCTGACATAGCTCATCATGAAGTATATATACTCTTTTATGGCTCAGTTCGGTTCAATCTATTTATTATCTGACTTTATTTATTATTGTTCGAACTCACAACTAGATCGTGAGCTAAATAACTTAGGTCACAAATTAGTACTAAATAAATATAGGCAAAAGTTCTGCACGACACTCGCTAGAGGCAAAAGTTACTCCAGTGGACCACACAACGCCATGTTTGCCATTAGATAAGAGAAGACTTCCGTTGCTGCTGATAGCTAGATTTGCTGTGGAGTCTGTAATGGGTTTTTCTCTATTGGCCACCCACACAACGACCCGGGGAGTGGTATCCTTGAACCAAATTCCAACATATTGATCCTGGGTGTTATTAGGACTGAAGAATCCCAATTCGTTGGAAGAGCTGAGAGTTTGTCCTATAGACAAAGGACTGGTCGGCGTTATAGCTGCGTAGCTGAAACTTAAGAGCATGGTAAAGAAAAGCAAACCAGCAAAGAGAAACCTTGTCATCGCCATGAACGATCTACTTCAGATTAGCATAAGAAGCGAACACGTATGCAAGAGAAAGTAAGCCAAGAAAACAAAATGAACTACTTTATAATAGGTTCTGAAGCACCTCTAAACAATGTTGACCACAACGCCCATCTTCCAAGATTATGCATGACTTTATAATATAAAGCAAATTGTAATAGTTTTGGCATACCAGTTGGACCCAGAGAATGGAATCCTTAGAATCAAACCTGTTACGCAACGACTGACTTCATATGGAAACATTGTGTCATTTTCACAGTCTGAACAAAATCCCAACTGTTTACCCAATCAACCATGCGCAGTTGACCTCAGTTTGTAACAATGTCCCCCTTTAGCTCGTCAAGCTGAGATCAGCGAGAGATAGACATCTACACTCTGAACCAATAAAAAAATGGAAACATGAATTCGTCATCTCTCGCGTGTAAGCTTAATTACTGAGATGCAAGAACTTAAAAATGTACCAATGACCACCTTTATCTGATCTGATCTTCTTGAAAACAGAGCGCAGCTTAAAGCGTTACACTTCGTTCAGGCACTTCACAACAGTTACAGTGCATAATTCATAAATTCGAAGACATCCCATTCAAAGCCTTGCTAATGTCGGTCAACATTGGTGTGTCACCAGCGAGAACATAAATTCTGAGACCATTCAGGTAATGTTCTCGCT